CACTGCCACGTTGCCTAAGAGTCAAATATCAACATCCCAAGTCCTGGATGAGAAAAGTGGAGGGTTGCGTTATAGGAGCGACCAGCCTAGCGTAAACTTGTCGAACCAATAATGACATAAGAATCCTTTAGAATTGTGTTTAAGCTAGGGCGTCCCTGGAAGCGGACGCGCTGTACCAATATGTGTCTGAACAAAAAAAATATATCAGTATCTAATATGTTGCTCATTTATAAAGGAATCAATAGCTATGGAGCACAGCGCTCCGGTCAGCATATAATTAATAGGCAAAGGGTTTTCACATCAAGCACGGACGGGCAACAAGAACGCTAAGTCCACCTGAACTAAAAGATTTAGAGATTAGGAAACTTGAATAGTAGGTTCCCTACAGGAAAATTAATGGAATTAGATAAATACTATACAAAAATGTTTTGCCGGTCACTTGCCCTAAGGAATTGTTGTTGTCTCCAGGGGGGGAGTGGTGGTTGGGGGGTGCAAATTAAATTAGTTTTCATTTATTAATTAACTTAAAATTTTAAAAGTGCTGACCCTAAAATATTTTTAAACATTAACATAAATTCACATTATATTAAATAAATATTATAAACCATTAATAATAAAAAATGAGAAAGTATGCGGAACTGCAAATCCTGGAATGAGGGTTCGACCCCTCCTTGCCTACGGGGAGTGGGAGCAGCACAGAACTTTTCTCAGTCAAAGGTTCCTTTGGCTTTCTAGCAGAGCTAGCATATGCTTCAATTTACTTGCTTCTTCTTTACCTTTCTTGCTCCTTCAAAGTCGCACCTTCTTTCTTTGCTACGCACCTTTTTCACGGTGCTTCCGAACTGGCTGACGCCGATGCTTCTTTCCCGCTCTTCCCGTTCTTTTGAAGTAGAGATCCCTTCACTACGTGCCTTATCTTTGACGAGCTTGAACGAAGACGCTTCGCGCCTTTCCACAGAATCAATGTAATGTAAGGTTACATATGAAAATAAGATGTTTCAAGCAATGCGCCGAATCTAGTACTCAACTTGCCCGACGAATAGAGAGATAGGCTCGAGCAAAGCGAAGAAGGAGAGAGCAGGATTTTGTATATCTTCACCACTCCTTGTTTATCAAAAAAAGATCCAGTTATGGCCTTATTTGCAGTGTATATGGACATAGTGTTAACTGGAAATTACATTCCTAGTCTAAAAGAATTGTTTGCGAAGTGCGAAGAGAAAATCTGCTTTTTTTTCTATGAAAGGACCTAGGAGACCCAGCTCCAATGCCTGCCTAAAGAGGGGCGGGCTAGCATGCCCCTCATCAGGCCGATCCCTAGCAACTTCAGCGGTTGCAAGAGCAAATGGCCGAATTGCTAAGATGCAAGAAAGCATCCACAGGATTCAATTCTTTCTGCTTGAACTCCTTCAGGGGATGGCCTCATGCCCATTTGAGAAAGAGTCTGTCGCTGCAAGATAGACGTAGCCTTGAGATGATGGGGTTGCCCGATGACGTCCATGCCCATCATCGACGAAAGGCAAGGAAATCATAGTAGGATGTAGAGGTTCCGGCGGTTGTATGATAAAGTCCGCGTGTATTCACGTGACATCTTTTGTTTTGGAAAACTGGATAGCATCCTTTATCATAGAAGGCCAGTACCCAAGTGTCTCAATTGATGGTACAACTGAGGTCCTGACTGATGTGCACCACAAACACCGGAGTGTGCTTCTTAGAAAGCCAGTTTGGATTCTTCTTCGGAGAGACACCTTAATACTTAATAGGATCCCATCGAAGGATCGCCGATAGAAAGATTGACATATACGTATGACGGAGCCCGCCTTTTTTTTTCTCATTAGTTTGAGGCGTTGATCCTGGGGCACTTCCCCAGGTTCAAAACTCAACCCGAACTTCACTTCTTATTATTAACTCATTCTTTGGAGACATCGCGAGTGTCGTCTCTGCCCCGAACAAGAAAACATCCACATGCTCAATAATGAAGATCTTCACAAGCTTACTTGAATCTCTACTGAGAATCCCATCAACCCAAGTCCGGTCTTTTTTTTTAGGTTTTCGTTGGTACCTATGACTCGTGTGCTTGTGCCTCGAGTTGCTATGTAGCACGTGATGCGGTTTCTATTTCCTTAATACTAAATGCCTATCTTTCTAAGATGACATGGATGAGATGCATCGAATACAGAAGAAAAGCTGTTCGAGAATCCCCTGCTTGAGAGGAGACAGGCTCGACTGTAGAGGATATAGAGATAGAAAAAAGCTAGACTGCAACCCGTCTTTTTGATGAAAAAGCATTTTTCCGGATCCGAGAAAAACAAAACTTTCATGCCACCCATGGGAAAAAGTCATAAACCGTCTTTCCCTTAGTGAAGTCACATTTCAATCTGGAAATTGTCAATCAACATGGGGTCAAAGTCATAAAACGTCTTTCCCTTAGTGAAGTCACATTTCAATCTGAAACTTTTTCATCCACCCATGGTCTTTTTGTATAAAACGCATTTCTCTACTTCAATTCCATGATTGTATAATTTCCCGGATTGGAGATCTTTCTTTCCGGATCTAATAGGCTCGACTAAAAGGAGAGGTGCGGAGCAAAGAGATGAGTGTAATACCGCTTGTTCGCACTGAACGAAGATAAAACTTTACTTAACGTGACGTTAGTTTTGGTTCGATCCACTATCATTTTGTAAGCGGATAGTTCACAGTGCTCATTAGAAAAAAAAACCGGAAAAGCCAACTCATCATGATGTTTCCACTCCATTTTCATTACGAAGATGTATCACGTCAGGATCCGTTGCTCAAACCGAATCACGCCAACGTTATGGAAGTTCCTGGATCGTGTGAAATCAGATTAGTACCAAACTCTGATTTCAGAATCCTATTTGGAAAATTGGCTATGGAGATGACGCGCGGTCAGAGATTCTTTCAGACAAAAAGGGGGCCTTCTTTCCAAGCAGGAAAGTCGTTTCGATCCAATCCGTCCGAAAAAGACACTGGATATGTCAGTGACTTTGCACGAAAAAGCGCTCTCCGAGGGCATGGAATGTATCATTTTTTGGTAAGAATCTCGACAGTAATGTCTCTTTTCTATTCTCCGGTCGAAATAAGGGAAAACCCCATTTTTGTTTCGATGGAAACGGAGTTTTGCGAATTCTCCCCGGAACTGGAAGATCATTTCGAGATCTTCGAGCATCTTCGAGGGTTCAATGTGACTATTGTAACTTCGGCCAACACAAAAGATGAGACTTTACCACCGTGGAGCGGCTTTTTGCTAAAAGATGAGGGGGAAACTCAGTAAGATGTCGGATAAGCGAAATCTAAGAGATCACAAACGTAGATTGCTCGCGGCTAAATATGAATTGAGACGAAAGCTTTCTAAAGCCTTTTGTCAAGATCCCGATCTTCCGTATGATATGCGGGACAAACATCGTTCTAAGTTGTCCAAGTTGCCAAGAAATAGTTCCTTTGCACGAGTAAGAAACCGATGTATTTCCACGGGTCGCCCTCGTGGAGTACTTGAGTTCT